GAAAATAAGTAAGGACACAGAAGCACTGAACAACACATTAGAACAGATGGACTAACAGACATCTATAGAACATTCCACCCAAAAGCAGCAGGATACACATTCTTCTCAAGTGCACATGGAACATTTTCCAGAATAGACCACATACTAGGCCACAAAAAGAGCCTCAGCAAATTAAAAAAGATTGAAATTTCACCAACCAACTTCTCAGATCACAAAGGTATAAAACTAGAAATAAATTGTAGAATTTAGAAACAAAGAAACAAGTAGAAACAAAGAAAACAAAAGGGCTCACAAACATATGGAGGCTTAACAACAGGCTCCTAAATAATCAGTGAATCAGTGACCAAATTAAAACAGACATTAAGCAATATATGGAGATAAATGAAAACAACAGCATAACACCCCAACTTCTGTGCAACACAGCAAAAGCAGTTCTTAGAGGAAAGTATATACCAATCCAGGCCTATTTAAAGAAGGAAGAACAATCCTAAATGAACAGCCTCTTCACCAGCTTGTGTTGGCAAAACTGGACAGCTAGCTACATGCAAGAGAATGAAACTGGATTATTGTCTATCCCCATACACAAAAGTAAACTCAAAATGGATCAAAGACCTGAAGGTAAGTCATGAAACCATGAAACTCTTAGAAGAAAACATTGGCAAAACTGACTTGAATATAAACATGAGCAACTTTTTCATGAACATATCTACTTGGGCAAGGGAAACAAAAGCAAAAATGAATGAGTGGGACTGTATCAAGCTAAAAAGTTTCTGTACAGCAAAGGACACCATCAGTAGAACAAAAAGGCATACTACAGTATGGGAGAATATATTTATAAATGATATATCCAATTAGGCATTGACATCCAAAATATATAAAGAACTCACATGCCTCAACAAACAAAAAGCAAATAATTCAATTAAAAAATGAGCAGCAGATCTGAATAGACAGTTCTACAAAGAAGAAATTCAGATGGCCAACAGGCACATGAAAAGATTCTCCATATCGCTAATCATCAGAGAAATGCAAATTAAGACCACAATGAGATATAACCTCACACCAGTTAGGATGGCCACCATCCAAAAGACAAACAAGAAATGCTGGCGAGGATGCTGAGAAAGGGTAACCCTTCTACACTGCTGGTTAGATTGTAAGCTAGTTCAACCATTGTGGAAAGCAATATGGAGGTTCCTCAAAAACTAAAAATAGAAATACCATTTGACCCAGGAATTCCCCTCCTAAGAATTTACCGTAAGAATGCAGGAGCTCAGTTTCAAAAAGACGTATGCACCCCTATGTTTATCGCAGCACTATTTACAATAGCCAAGAAATGGAAGCAACCTAAGTGTCCATCAGTAGATCAATGGATAAAGAAGAGGTGGTACATATACACAATGGAATATTATTCAGCCATGAGAGGAAAACAAATCCTACTATTTGCAACATGGATGGAGCTAGAGGGTATTATGCTCAGTGAAGTAAGCCAGGCAGAGAAAGACAAGTACAAAATGATTTAACTCATCTGTTCAGTATAAGAACAAAGCAGAAACTGAAGGAACAAAACAGAAGCAGACTCACAGAACCCAAGAATGGACTAACAGTTACCAAAGGGAAAGGGACTGGGGAGTGTGGGTGGAAAGGGAGGGATAAGTGGAATAAGGTGCATTATGATTAGCACACATAACCTAGGGAGTGGGCACGGGGAAGGCAGTGCAATATAGAGAAGACAAGTAGTGACTTTATAGCATCTTACTGCATTGATGGATAGTGACTGTAATGGGATAATCGTGGGGACTTGATTATGTGGGGAATCTAGTAACCACAGTGTTGCTCATGTAATTGTAAATTAATGATACACATAAAAAAGATTCTGTGACATTTTCTCCTTTTAAAGATAGTTATATGGATATTTTTAAAAACTCAAAGATGTATGAACTTGTCACTAAAAATTCAAAGATATAAATATATATATATATATACACAAAGATATACAATAACTTCAGTGATACCTATGATAATTCAAAGATACTATATGTATATGTATACATTCAGTAACTTAGTGTTTACCCCAATCTCCCATCTTTCTCTGCTTCTACTTCCTGAGGTAGCCAGTGTGGGTGCCCAGGTGTGTCTCCTTCCACACTATTCTCTATGCTGATACAAATATATAGAAGTATATGTTCACTTATGGGGCTTTAAGATAAATAATGGCATTATACAATGCACATTTCTCTATGTTACACAGTGGCTAAGAGTACAGACTCCAGAGCCAGCTCCTGGCCTTTTGGCTGATGAGTTGTGTGGCCCTGGGCAAACCAGTTAAGCTCTCTGTATCTGCATTTTCTTGTCTTTGTATAATGGTTGAAATATTATCATCTACTTCATAAGGTTTTTTCTTTTAGGAGTAAATAGTTTATGTAAAATTTTTAGAACAGGTACAGGGTGTTTTAATGTTGGTTTTTATTATTACAAAACTTCTTAGACCCTTGCATTTAGAATTAACTCATTCTTTTTAACAACAGATATTCAGTGTAGCTGTATCTTAATTTATTCAGAATAAATTGGAGTGCTCTCACTTTGTGAAGTGTATTGTCTTACCATGGTTGAGGAATGAAGTGGAGGGAGGATCATTGTTCTGAAAAGCTGTTGTTGGAGAACAAGTATTATGAAATTTTGCCAAAGGATGCATTTACCAGTATTTTCTAAATGTCATTTAAGAGGTTATTGGCTGTTGTAAATAGTGCCTTAAACGTTGGAGTTTGATATACCACAGTTCAGTTGCATGATTATTTCTATTTTACTGTAAAGTAGACTTCTACAATGTCAGCATTTAAGAGGTATTATTCATGTCAGCTTTACCAAACTCTGAGTGGCTCCTCCCACAGCTTCAGTGTATTTGTTATTTTCCCCAAGTGGGGCTTCATATTTACTTTGGAGTTTGCCTTCTGATGTCTCTTTTTTGATGAGCATCTGCCAAATAGTCCCCATCACATTCTGACTTCTCATTGCAACCAGTAAAATACGGAACATGGCAACTGGAAAGTGGTGGGATAGGCAGTCTCACTTTTACATTTTTTCCATTTCGATATGCAATAAATACGGCTTCTGATAAATAGAATTCTGAAATCAAAGAGTTTGTGTAACTATTTAACTGGAATACAAAGAAACCATCTGTACCAGATACTGTTGGTATGCTACCATATCCTCTGGGCATTCACCATCCCAGGCATTGCCAACCATGGCTCCCAGCAGAGAACTTCCTCTGGCAAGGGAGCCTGCTGGCAGCAAATGAGCAGGGAGCGAGTGCCAGGGAGTAAACACTGGCTTTAGCCAGCAGACAATAATGAATATGAGTGACAGGCTCTTTTACCCTTCAAGTGTTATAACTGTGAGGGATTTTTATAGTCCCTAGGGGTCCCAGGGCAATGAAGCCTCAGTTGCCCAGGGCAGTAACTTGCCTGATACTATGCCTTTATTAGACTTGGTTAACCTTCCCCACTTTCCTACCAGAAGCTCCTGGAGTCACCTCCCAAATTAGCCACTTTTGTTAAAATTCCTGTCTGAGGGTATATTTCTAGGGGAATGCCATGTAGACAACATCTTTTTCAAAAAACAAATAATACGTGTTTACTATAAAAATGTGAGAAAATATGGTCAAGCAAAAGGAAGAAAAGTACAACTTGTAATCTTACCACCTAGAGACATATCTATTATTGATCTCTTGGTACATTTTTATATATGTTAGTATACTTAAAGCTAAAAGGATCCTACTGTACATATTTTGTGTGTGTGTTTCAATTACAGGTTGTTGGGAAAAATTTCCTTTTTGCTTTATCCCCAAATAGAAATTTTCAAATTTGTTTGCTCTGATAATCTAAAGAAAGTGCAAACAGATTCTATTTTCCTGAGATAAGCACTGTCAACTATTCTGTATATTTTTCCTGATTAGATATTTAGATATTTAAAAATATATCTATCAATGGAAGTATATTTTATGTATTATTCTGTAACCTCTTTCACTGGCAATATTATAAACATGAAAAAATGACACAAGGCATACTTGTTCATTGTAGAAAGAAAATACAGATAAACAAAAAAAGCATAAAAATGAAAATCACGTCTGTTGCAACTATCCAGGGATAACTGTTAACATTTAGGGGTAATTCTTTATAAGCTTTAAAAAAGTTTTACATAAATACCCAATAAAAAGTAAGTTTCAGAGTGAGATCATACTGTTTAAACTGTTTTCTAACTACCTGTTACTTAGCAGTATGAGAATTTTTCTATGACCATAAATATTAAATTGTTAATGACTGTGTCAAAGCCTTTTAACCAATTTTTTATTGCCAAAGATGTAGACTGTTTCTTGATTTTTAAAAACATTTATAAATGGTATCAGGGTAAACATCATGTAGTTAAACCCTTGAGCTCATCTATGATTATTTCCTTAGGATAAATTTCTAGAAGTAGGATTATTGGGTTAAAGGTTTATACATTTTAATGAGTTTGATAAATATTGCCAAATTGCCTTTCAGGAGAGTTTTGCCAATTTACACTTTCTCCAGTAGAGAAGGAAAAATGAACTTTTTTCTGGTTTTCAACAAATTTGTTTATTAGAATAAATAATCTTATTATCATGGAATAAACTATTTCTATTTCCAGAGATCCTTTTACTTTTGTCAGCTGTTTGAAAGTTGTTTCAAATTTCTTTGCAGGTGAATTGTCAAAATTCCTACTACTGGTGGCATCTATAAATATCCTTATATTATTAAACATTTAAGAATGTGATGTCTTCTCATCCATATAAACTAATACCTGTTCATAAGAATTTGAGAGCCTGCTTAAGTTAATCAGTTTCTGTAAGATATTAGTAATTCCTACTGAAGACTTGCCCTTACATTTTAGTTATTGCAATGACATTTTACTACCAAGCTGTTTTACTTTACAAGCTTGACTTTTCTTTTCCTGACTTTAATTTAAAAATTTTCTCTCTTCTAAAGGTTTTTCAGATGTGAATTGTTTGCACCTTCGTTTCCGCTGGTCTGGAGATGCTCCCTCAGAACTCCTGAGGAAATTCAGAAACTATGAAATTTGAAATGTTTCTGCTCAACAGGAGAGAGAGAGCAAGACCATGTCCTGTGCCGCCAAGAAATCCTAAAAATGTGTTTGTTCAGGTCTTAAAAATGTCGTGTTTATGTCATATTTGTGCATCTCTGCCCTCAGATTGATTCCTCCATCCTGGAACTCATTCTCACAATGTTTTTTAAGTGAGGAAATTTCCAGATTGGTTTCTTTTAATGTTTGAATAAATTAAGGTCCTTAGATCGAAAGTAGCTTGTATTATGTGCATTTTCCTGTTCGTGTTATTTTTAGAAGTCCATTTAAAGATTCTATCTCTGTATTTAAATATTTCATTGGTATATTGTGGTCTCTATTAGTGCTGGGTATACAAGAAATGCTTTCTGACTCCTGACTTATGATGAAATATGAAATTACTTGTTTAAACCCACAGGGTAAAATAAATAATTTACCCAAAGTTCATAATTCAACTGTATTTTGAGAATAATTTGAGTAGTTATTTCTACTTTAATTTTAATGATTATAAATTTAAGAAATTTGAGGAAATATGTTTTTATAAGATTTCTTTTGTTATATAGCAAGGGATAAATTTATAAGTTCTGTTCAAACTATGAAAATGGGCTGTTAGGTAAAACATACTTTTTAGGTTGGGGTTATTGATGGCCATGTGTGGTTTATGGTTACTTTTTAGTTGCAAACAAGTGAATTAAAAATTAAGAAGAAAAACAATTTTAGAGCAGAGGTTCTTTAGTCAATGACAGAGTTTTCACTGGTCTACTGCAAAATGAGAAAAATAAAATTAATTCTTAAAAAGCTAAATTATTCAGAAATGATGTCCTTCCTACCTTTGTGGTTTAAAATGTGCCTTAAAATTTTTTTTATGAACTAGTATCATAGTAGATTGTATTAATTCAATAGGGCTGCCATAAAACAATACCACAGGTTGGGTGGCTTTAGTGTTCCTTACAGTTCTGGAGGCTGGAAGTCCAAGATCAACGTGTCTGCAGGTTTGGTTTCTTCTGAGGCCCCTCTCCTTGGCTTGCCACTTACTCAGTGTGACTGCACATGGTCTTTCTCTGTGCATGCACATCCCAGGTATCTTTACCTCCTCTTCTAATGACACCAGTCATATTGGATTAGGGACCACCCAAGCAACCTCCTTTTAACTTAATCTCCTCTTTAAACATCTAATGTCCAAAAATGTCAATTCTGAGGTAGTGGGGATTGGGACTTCAACAAACAAATTTTAGGGGAACACAATTTATTCTATAACATTGACAAAAACTGAGAAAAAACAAAGCAAATATAACCCTTTGTTGTGTCTCTTAATTTTATTTGAATTTTTGCTGTTTTATTAAATCCAAAAGTTAGGGCCAGCCCTTTAGAGAATTCCTTCTATTAATATTTTTTTTAATTAAGGTATCATTGATACACACTCTTATGAAGGTTTCATGTGAAAAACAATGTGATTACTATGTTCACCCATATTATCAAGTCCCCTCCATACCCCATTGCAGTCACTGTCCGTCACTGTACTAAGATGCCAGAGTCACTACTTGTCTTCTCTGTGCTACACTCTCTTCCCCGTGACCCCCCACACACCGTGTATACCAATCATAATACCCGTTAATCCCCTTCTCCCTCCCTCCCCACCCACCCTCCCACCCCTCCCCTTCGGTAACCACTAGTCCCTTCTTGGAGTCTGTGAGTCTGCTGCTGTTTTGTTCCTTCAGTTTTGCTTCATTGTTATACTCTACGAATGAGGGAAATCATTTGGTAGTTGTCTTTCTTCACCTGCCTTATTTCACTGAGGATCCTTCTATTAATATTTTACCACTTCAGTAAAATGTGATTTGGCATTATTATATCTGCAAGTTTTACTTCAAAAATAGAAAAAATTACCTTTTTAAAGCTTACAATTTTTTTTAAGAAAATAATCAAAGAATATTAAAAGACCAAGGACCTTCATGAGAGGTCGAGAGGAGAAATGAATCTCGGTCTCAGCCAGCCTGGACACAGGGCTTCTCTCCACTTAGTCAGGGGCTCAGGGAAGGCCTGGGTCACGTGGGAGGGTGGGGAGCAGTCAGCAAGCACCAGGACACAGTATTGAGGATGATTTTCAATGACTCTTCAAGGTTGAAAATCCACTCCTGCCTCTGTGGTCTTCTCTGCCTTTGTTACAGAAGCATTTCCCAATTGTTGACAAGATTGAGCACTTGTTTACTTTTTACTTTTCTTGTTTACTTTTCTCTCCCAAAATGGTCGAAACCTCCAAATAATAAATGAGAAACAGGTCCACTTGAGTGGGGGTTTATGATGAGGGGGTTTGTGTTAAGCATATGAGTCAGTAGGAGACATTTGATTCTTAAACAATTAAATACAGTCTTGAACTTGAACTCAGAGTTTACAGAGGAAGGGAAAACTGTGCTTTGACAATACGGTTTTTCTCTTTGAAGGAGAAGTAAGGAGAAAACTGTACAACTTTTCTTCAGTAATTTGTTTGAATTCTTCAGTGTGCTCAGCACAACCACAATCATATGTATGCATTTTAGCACATCTTCAAAGCCATTTATTTTGGGGTTATGGCTCAACTTTATGATATAGCAAACTGAATATGAAAACATTTTACATAAAGATTATTAAGCTCAAGTCAGCTCCAAATGCTGAAGATAATTTATTTTTCTCATATTTGATATTGACTGAATAAGACACATTGCTTGAGAAGATTATGTGATTAAAACTGTGCTAGCATGTGTGTAGGTTATAATGAAAATGCTTAAGACATGTTTATGCTCTCAAGTAGCTGATAAACTAGAGAAATGAGACAGGTGTATGGATATCATAGAGAGGAATATGTCAAATTAGTTTAAGTATATAATATGTTTAGAACATGCCTGGTAGATAGTAAGCACTATATATATTAGTTACTATCCTTACTATATTGTTATATATTGTTTAGAGATAATCAGTTAACAGAACTGTGTTCTTCCAACCTCCCTCAATTCTCTTTTTGACAGGCACCATTTCTTGCATATCTTACCTTAGATATCCTGTGCATTTATACACATGTATATGTTTCTCTTTACACAAATGGGAGCATGCTATTTATACTGCTGCATACTTCCCATTTATTCAGTTGATTTTTCTTGGAGATTTTTCAGTTTTATACATAAGTGCTATTTTATTCTTTTTATGTGCTGTATAGCATTCCTTTGTATGTATGAACTATAATTTATTTAACTTGTTCTCTCTTCATGCCTTTCAAGTTTGTTTACAGATTTTTATTTTTAATTATAAGTAACACTGTAATGAATAACTTTGTGTACATAGTATTTCTTGTATGTGAAGTGACGAATAACTTTGTACATAGTATTTCTTGTATGTGAAGTATCCCTGTAGGATTAATACCTACCAGTGGAATGGGTCAAACAATATGCACATTTAGATTTGCTTACATTCTTAAGCAAAGAACTGATGCGATTTGGTAAGTTTCAGAGATCTTGGGGCCATTGGATTGGAAAGCCAGAAAATAGTGCTTGTTGATTAGGATTCCTGCCTTCTGTTTTTTTTCCCCCCCTACTGTAGGCTAGACTTCATTGAGTGGCTCAGTTTGAAGCATTGTGCTTATGGAACCATTTACCCAGCACCTCTCCTAACCCCTGATACCAGGGAGTGCCTGAGATACAAAGCAATAATAAAACCAGAGTACACTTTTCTTCTGGTACCCTCCACAAAGACAGGAAGCAAACAGGGTGTTTTTTTCAGTGTTCTGGCTTCCTGCCTTCTGGGTGTCCTAAAATGCTGAAATACAGTTCTGAAACATTTTTGCTCTTTTACTTAAAAGACCAACAAGCAACTCAATAGAGAGACTCTGGGAAACCTAGGTGGAATTCAGTTTCCTATAATCCAAAATAGTTTCCAGTCTCCAGTGGACATATTCCAGCTTGTCAAAAATAGGCCCCTGGATGAGCAAATTAGAAATACAAAAAAGACTTTGCAGATATTTCTTGAGAAGAGAGAGCTGGATAAGGAAAAGATAAAGCTGTTTTCCTGCTTATGAATTTTCATATCCTTTCTGTGCCCAGATCTGATGGTGGTTACAGGATCAATCACAGCAGCAAGTGTTGATGACTAATGAAGTTATTGAGAGGGGCCTTTAATTTCCTAGAGGCAAACACCATTACCTGCCACCTCCACATCACAGATGAGGAGATGCCAGGACTACTGGGGAGTCAGTGATGGAAGAAATTGTAAAACTGGTGCAAGTACTGAGAAAATGATGAAGTGTCTCACAATGAAAGGCTTCACTTCCCCTTCAGTTTCAGGTTTTGTGATACGCATCAGTGTGGGTGTATCGTCAGTGTTCTTACCCCTCGGCGCCATCTCACTCTCCTTGTGGGACAATATTTGTTAGCAGGCAGCTAATTCTCATCCTTCCTCATCCCACCCAGGCTCCTTTGTTTCTTTCAATGTTTTTTCTTTGGTGATTTCTTGGATTAATTAGCTGCCAAGAGTGGATGTTTGCACAGTGGAATCTAGGTGAGGTTGTGGAAAACTAGCTGTTTCTCTTGTTCTAAACTACTGTGAGATTTAGGGGAAATCACTTGAACACTGATTCAGTTTCTTCTACCTGAGGTTGGAAATAAGGATCTTCCCTTTGCAGGACACAGGATCTCAGCCAAGAACCAGGTACAGAATTGGCATTTTTAGGGCCCCAGTGGGAGCCAGGACAGCGTGGGAACTGATAAGGAGTGTTTAGCCCAGAAGTAGGAGTCAAAGATTAGTGAGGGCAGGGAAGCTAGAAAGAGGATTTGTCTTCTCCACTCCACTTACTCTTTCTAATAACTCCTCTTTTCTTACTGTTTTTTTAAATAAAAGGGCAGAGACATAAAGGGAGAGATTACAATTAAGTAGGTGTATCTATACACACCAGCTGCAAACACCTCAATTAATTTTTTTATATTCAGCTGAGTTTGAGGTGCCATTCTTGATAGCATCGCACCTCTGAAGACGATGGTGATTTGTCTTCAGAGTAAAGTATATTAAATGTTTATATTTAATACAGTAAATATAAATAAATACTTTCTAGCTCATTAGACCATTAGGGGAGGCTCTAAAACAGTCTAATAATAGTAGTGGCTCTTATATTTACCAATCCGGGGACATGAAAACCCTGAAGCCTGGGTGTCGCCCCTGAGGTTCCGATTTCCCCGGTCTGGGCAGCCCTGGGCAGTGGCACGGGGCAGCTCCGCGTGACGAGTGCGCAGCTAAGTTCATGGCCCGCGGTGGCTTCGACAAAAGGTTACAGGCGAAATGGTTCAGCTCTTGATGGTTCTACCCGCATATAGGCGACTGCAGCGCTTCCTTCCGTGCCAGTTATTTCCGGGGCCTCACGGCCCCAGAGGCACTCCCTCTGGGCCCCCAGACAGGCCTGCGAGCTGCGGCCGCTCCGCCTCCCCGAGTTCCCGCCGGGGCCTCCCGCCCACCAGGCCGCGTGGAGCGCCCCCTGCTGCCGCTGCCGGGCGCTGAGCCGCTGCGGGCAGGAAGGCCGCCCCGCGGCCCGCAGCGGCCTTTCCGCCGCGCTTGTTGGGTTCCCAGAGGCTGGCACCCGCCCCGCCCCCCACCAGGTGGTCGCAGGCCCTGGGGCGCAACTTGCCGCGGAGCACAGGCCAAGCTCTCTGCGGCAGCCTGTCTCCGCATCCCCTTGGCCTCGCACAAACGCTTTTTCTCCCCCAGCTGCAGAAAAGGAACTGCCTGGGTGGATGAGGTACAGAGTGTGTAGTGTCTGTGTGTGTGTGTACCGGACTGTTCAGGCTTTGATTCTTCTCTTCCCGGCCTCGTTCAAGGAATCAGGGAGCCTGCATCCAGACAAGGACCGTACTCTGGCAGACATCCGTGGTGTAATGCCTGTGATTCAGAGGTCGGCTCCTGGGAAGGCATTTCGCTAACAGTGTAACCTGAAGCAAATTCATTAACCTCCCTTTGCCTCAGTTTTTCTCATCAGTAAAATGGGATAGTAACTACTATCAATAGTAGTAATTAGGCAAGAAAATCAGAAAAGGACCAGGACTATTTTTTCCCAGTACCTCCCATTCCCTAGAATGGTGCTCCAACATCACCCAGGAGCATGCTACAAATGCAAATTATTGGACCCTACTTCAGACCTACTGAATTGAATCCGTGAGGGGTAAGGCCCCTTTGCTTGGCATCTTTCTGGAATCTTCAAGGGATTCTTCTAAGTGCTAAAGTTTGAGGAGCACTGTTCTAGAATCTTACTCCATAAAGCATTGTCCAAAGCTTAGAGTTATTAGCATTGCCTGGGATCTCTTTTAGACAAGCAGAATCTTGTGCCCCACTCTATATCTGATAAATTGTAATCCATGTTTTGACAAGATCCCCAGTATTTCTATGCACATTAAATCTTGAGAAGCACTGTCCTAGAACTGCATTTCTAATATAGTATAATATATAATGTAATATACTAGCCCATGTGTAATTGTTGAAATTAAAATTAAATTAATTAAAGTGAAATAATGTTAGAAATGTAGTTCCTCAGTCACACTAACCCTAATTCAGTGTTCAAGAGCCCATGTGGTTACTGTATTGGCAGTGCAGATTAGAGAACATTTCCATCACCTCTGAAAGTTCTTTTGGACAGTAGAGCTGAAGAGTAATTATTTTTATCTTTTTGTTTGGTAGCCATGGAGCATCTAGATGGAGCAGAATGCCTGGGACAAGCGTGATAGACTCTAATGTTTTAAAGAGCCAGGCAGGTGGAGTAAATGAATGAAGAAGGCTAATTATAAGAGAACATAGAGCACAAGCACAATGGTAAGTGGACAGCAATACTCAGCCTCCATGCTGGGGCTATAATAGGGAGTGCTGAGGACTAGGGAACCCAAGGAAAGTGTTTTCAGATCCAGCCATCAGTTACCATGGAGGAGGCTAGGCCAGGATGAGGCCAGGTAGTCCTATTTTTGTTTAAGAAGCTAGAACCTGGATTTTTAGTGACTCTTAAATTTTGGTTCTTAAATAAAAATTTAAAAAATGCTATGCTGATAAAGGAAATGTCCTGAAGGCCTGATTTCACCCTGATGCTGAGAAAATCAAACTGTCTGGTTCTGCCTTGCCAAAGTTAGTTACTTGCCTTATGTTTATCCTCCTTTCTTGCCTTTCTTCTTTCCTTTGAATCTAGTCTTTGCTTGTTCTTCCATCTTTTTCTCTTATTCAGTAAGCATTTATTGATTACTGTCGATGTGCCAGGATACAAAGATGAACCAACATTTCTCCTCCCCTCAGAGCCCCCAGTTCAGTGGGCACTTGGGCATGGGTGCAGGTAATGACAGTGAAGTTGATGGAGTGCTGTGGTAGAGGTGTGGCCAGAGCCATCTAGAGTGGTAAATAAAGGTATATAAGTCAACTTTGACGGGGAGGGATCAAAGAGGTTTTCACACGTGTAGATATTTGAGCTGGGTTTTGAAGGATATGTAGGAGTCCTCTAGGCTGAAGGGCTGGGAGTGGGAGAGGATATTTTTAGCGGAAAGAAGAGCTTAAGACTTGACAGTACTTGGTGTGTTTGGAAAGAGAAAATGTCTGGTGTAAGGTGTAAGGTGTATAAAGTTACTTACCAGGCCTTCTTGTGTTTAAAAGTCTGTGTGTTAGCTACTCCCCACCATTATTTGAACCACCTCTCCCTCCTTCCAGAATCCTCTCCCCACAGCCTTGTGGATCCTGGATTAAACCTTCATCTTGAATCCTCTGGCTCCCCACCCACTGCTGTCTTTTCATTCTCTCCTCCCTCCTGTAGATCTCTCTCTATCCACTTAAAATTCAGTCTCTTTTCATATTCAAAACCATCTGGTGCTCAACCAACCAGAGGGAGAATAAAGATGCTGAGATTATTAACCCGCCTTCTGGAGAGATGGTTTAAATGTCAGTGATTCTGAGCACCTTATTTGGATCTTGATTCAGACAAAGTATTAAAAAAACAGACAATTTATGAGATGACTGAATGAATATTTGAACACTAACTGGATATTGGTGATTAACATTTTTAGGAATGATAATGGTATTAGAGTCATGTTAAAACACATCTTTATCTTTAGACATGCATCAGATATTTATGGATGAAATCATAAGAAGTCTGGAATTTGCTTCAAAATAATATGGGGGTGCCGAGTGCATGAGGTACACACGAACAAGATTGGCTGTGAATTAATGGTTGTATAACTCAGGTGATAGGTACATAAGGGTTCATTAACTAGACTTTTTATTTTTGTATATGTTTACATATGTATTACATTTTAAGTAATTCATTTTATTGGTTGAATCATGTCCTCCAAAAAGTTATGTTGAAGTCCTAACCTCTGGTACTTCAGAATGTGACCTTTTTTGGGAAATAGGGTCTTTTCAGATGAAATCACATTAAGGTGAGGTCATCAGGGTGGGCCCTTATCCAATCTGACTGGTGTCTTTATAAGAAGGGAGAAATTTATATGGTTAACTAATATTTGCCAAGGGAAGCAAGAATAATTAACAGGGAAAACATAATCTCTTCAATGAAAAGTTTCCAGAAGAAACTGGATAACCACATATAAAAGAATGAAATTGGACTATCTTACACCCCTCACAAAAATTAACTTGAAATGGATTGAAGACTTAAATATAAGACCTGAAACTGTGAAGCTCTTAGAAGAAAATGTAGGGAAAAAGCTCACTGACAGTGATTTTGGCAGTGATTTTTTGGATATGACACCAGAAGCACAAACAACAATAAGTGCAGCTACATCAAACTACGAAGCTTCTGCTCAGCAAAAGAAACAGTCAAAAAAATGGAAATGCAACTTATGGAATGGAGAAAATATTTGCTAACCAACTCCTGATGAGTTAATATCCAGTAAAGAACTGATACAACTCAATAGCAAAAAACCAAATAACCCAATTAAAAAATGGGCATAGGAACTGAATAGATGTTTTTCCAAATAAGACACATAAATAACCAACAGGTCCATGAAAACGTGCTTAACATCACTAGTAATCAGGTAAATGCAAATCAAAACCACGAGATACAAGCTCAGACCTGTTAGAATGGCTGTCATCAAAAAGACAAGAAATAGCAAGTGCTGGAGAAGATGTGGAGAAAAGGGACCCTTGTGCACTGTTGGTGAGAATGTGAATTTGTGCAGTTACTATGGAAAGCAGTATAGAGGTTCCTCAAAAAATTAAAAAAAGAACTACATATGATGCAGCAATTCCCCTTCTGGGTGTACATTCAAAGCAAATGAAAACAGGATCCTGAAGACGTGTCCACCCTCCCACATTCACTGCAGCATCATTCACAGCAGTCGAGATACTGAAACAGCCTGAGCCTGTCAGCAGTTGAATGGATAATGAAGTTTGTGTAAATATATATACAGTGGAATATTATTCCACCTTAAAAGTGAGGGAAATACTGCCATTTGTAACAACATGGATAAAACTTGAGGCCATCGCTCTAAATGAAAGAAGTCAGAGACAGACAAATACTGTATGATATTATTTATATGTAGAATCTGAAAATGTTGAATTCATAGAAACAGAATAGAATGGTGTTTCCCAGTGGTTGAGGGGTGGAGGAAATGGGAAGATGTTAGTTAAAGGATACAAACCTCCAGTTATAAGACAAATAAGTTCTTGGGATCTAATGTACAGCCTGGTGAATATAGTTAATACTGTATTATGTACTTGCAAGTTACTAAGACAGTTGATCTTAAGTGTGCTCATCACAAAAAAGAAATGGCAATTATGACATGATGGAGGTGTTAACACTACGGTAGTAATTTTGCAATATATGTGTATCAAACCAACATTTTGTACACGTTACATTTATACAATGTTTTATGTCAATTACATCTCAGTGAAGATGGAGGGGAAAAAAAGAAGGGGGATATTTGGACAGAGGCACACAGGAGAATGCCATGTGCCTAGCTGAGGCAGAGACTGGGGTGATGTAGCCCTGAGCCAAGGAATGCCAAGGATTGATGACTGTTACCAGAATCTAGGGAGAGGCAAGGAAGGATTCTCCTTTCTAACCTTCGGAGGGAGCATGATCCTGCCTCACTTAAGTCACTAGCCTCCAGAACTGTGGGACAATACATTTTGGCTGGGTCACTCACCCAGTTTGTGGCTCTTTGATATGGTGGCCTAGGAAATGAAGGCACTCCCTAATACAAAGTTAAATACCAACTACTTTCCTACCTTAAACTTTTTCTTCCCTTTTTGTCTGCTTCTTCTACCACATCATAATTGAAATACCCTAATATATATCCACTTTGGTCTGGATGCGCTGTCACTCTGAATAAGGGGAATGGCACAGAACTGAAAATCTGTATGTCAATGGTTGAGGTGGAAATAAGGAAGGAGGGATTTGCAGAGAACGAGACAAATGCTTAAGCCACCTCACAAATCCGTGCAACTTCACGAGGAGCCAGCTTCCCAGGCCCCTTGCAAAACCTGAATAAACCAATCTCCACTGGGCCATTTGAGATTTTGGTCTTGAATCTGCCATTTCCTGGCTTGGAGATGTTGCACAAACTGTTAAATATGCCTTATTTTCTCCTTGGTGAAGTGAGGGGGTTTATTCTAGTGAGGCTTCCTTGCTCACCTTACACTGGCTCAGGTGCTCCATCAGCACCTGAACCAGCCTCACCTATTGTTCATCACTGTAGCATGCGTCTTGCCACTGGTTACTAGCTATTGCTATTGCAAGACTGTGAGCTCCTTGAGGCGAGGCAGGGACTATCTTGTTCCTGCATCCCCTCCCTGAGCCCCTGGCTTTGCAGGCAGTCGATGCTCAATGAGGAGCATAGCCTGCCACAACAACACTATTTAGGGTAAATCTATGCAAATGGTAAAAATTCAGAGAGCTAGAGAAGGAGCCATTCATCTGCCTGTAACAGGGGATCAGTCTCAGAAAGCCCCCGTCCCCCATCCTGAGGCTTCCACCCCACTGAGCCCTGACTTTGAGAATGCATTTGGTATGATGCTCAAAACGGAGCTGAGGGCAGCTAAAATGCTTGCCCACAGTAGATATTTTTGTGCAAAAGTTTTATGCTTTTTAGTGATGAAAGTTAAGCCTTACAACTGGTTTCAGAGAGGAAGCAAGAAAAAGTGGCAGAGTACTATGGTGTTTAACGGGACTTGGTAAAGATTTTTCTTTGCTCTAGGGGAGATGTAGATATGCATGTACAGTTGAAACCCTGAAGAAAAACGAACCAGGGATAGCACTTCAAACACATGCAGGTTGGTTTCTGCAGTGAGTTGCAAATGAGATCTCTCCTTAGGAATGTTTCCATTTCAGGAAGAAGGAAAATTTCACGATGCAAATTTGCCCTGTGAAAAATGTGTGATCTGATATTTAGTGATTTCAGAAGGAGGATACATCAAGACTTTGACATTTTGGTGAGTAGACTACAAAAAGCCCGGCCATTTCTTTACAAGATGAGTTCTAGGATCTTTTACATTCTAAACATCTGTTCTTCTCTGAGTATAATTTTTTCTTTTCTACATTCAAACTTATCCAAAGTATGTTCTACCTAGGCTAAAAATTGATGGAAGACATGGCAATGAAATGTAAAGATTTTTTATCCCAATGCTATATTCAGGCGGTTCCCCCTTAACAGTTTCTTTCAATCTGTTAACTTGAGTGACCATTCCTCAGATGGCCACAAGATGGCAGCCTTGGCCTAACAGTAAGAGAAGGGTCCGCTCAAGAAGCCTTTGCTAGTTGTGATGGTGCAAAAGGAGTCCAGATACGGTTGTGTGTTTGCCTCTGCACCTCTGCGGTGTGGTCAACTGATATCCTTTCCACCACAGACATTTCATGAACAAAGCCTAGAGAGCTTAAAGAAATCTTAAACAATCCAGCCATTCTGCACAGTTGCTCAGGCCAGTTTGCTGATGTCAATGCTGTGTGGAAGAGAAATAATTTTGTTAACAAAGGGAATATATGTGTGCCAAGCCCCATTTGTTATCTGAAACTTTGTGGTCAGAGGTAAGATTGATGTGGAAGCTTAGAGACACATTTGGATGTTATGAAATAGGGTGTAAGGAGGTTTTACAATGCTGAAAATGTAATTAAATATCACTGAATGATGTTCTAATTAATTATCGCTGTATGGTAGCCTTCAACAGGGTAGGGATGTGTCTGTTTTGTTGAACAATGTATCCCTTGCACATAAAAGGTTGCCACACATTGATTACCTTCTGCACCCAGTTCTGGTCTTCTGTGCAGTTTCCTTCACAATGACACTTGGAGAATGGGCCCAGAAGGAGCCATTGCGGGGCTACTCCCTCCTCCCTACTACCAGCCTCTTCTCTGCTCCAACCTTGAATATTTTCGGTACAGATATACTTCCTATCCCAAGGATCTATACCAGTGCCCAGAGGGGGGTCAGTAGACACCCCTGCCTCTCAGTTACTAAAAATAGTGTAGATCCTGGGCTCACCTCATATCTATTGGATCAGAATCTCAGACAGTGAGGGCCACGCATGGTGTTTTTAGTAAGCTCTCTTGGGTGATTCTTCTAATATTTGAGACTCTCTTATATAAAGAGAATAAAGAGCCACAGCCTTAGAGCCTGCTGGATCAGGAAGATATTCCTCTAATAGCCTGTAAGGTAAGGAAGGAGAGAGAAGATATTAATACTAATACCATAGTAAGATAGTAGTACTATAACAGAACTACAAGTAAGATAGTAATACTAATACCATAATAGCCCTACATGTATCACAGGATCAGTCAGACAAGGCCAGCTACCTCCAGTATCTTCCAAAGCGGATACTGAACCATCATGTTGCCAACAAAGACAAGAAGGTAACGTGAAGTAATTATTGAATAATTCAGGCTGCATTTAGTTTTGTACCAGTTATTTTAAATGCAGGAACATGGGGCAAGAATGGTACTAGTGGAGAGGTGGCTAAATCTTGTAATCTAACAGACTTATAAACTTCCCTCCAAAGTAGCTATCAAGACCACAAACCCTCAGCTTGAAATTCATTATCCTTTTTCAGTTGTTGTCTTACCACCATGACCCTCAGTTGTTTTCAGTAAGGGTTCCCCCAAGGGTCAATGTTAGAAGCAACTTTAGGGACCAATAGCTGATTCAGTAGAAAGTCAGAAATTGAACAGCAAATACAACTAGTAAAGAAACATATGGTAAGATACAGAAACTCTACTAGTAATCAAAGAAAAGCAAATTAGATAAAATTGAGGAGTTCTTACCTGTTAAATTAGAAAAATAGATGTTGCAAGTGATAATAGTGCTCAGTGTAAAGGAGGGTTCCATGCATGGAAAAATTCCCTACATAGCTTTCTTATGTATTACTGGTGGCACTGTACAATGGTCCAGTTCTGCAGCAAAGCAATTTAAGGATATGTACTTAGAGTCATAAAAATGTTCACATCGTTTCTTCAGTATTCCCATTCTTGAAGATGTAGAGCCTAAATAAATTACATAAAATATGGGAAAATCCTGTATCTCAAATATGTACATCACAATGTCATTAGTCAAAAAGAAGGAAGTAGCCTACATGTACAACAACTGTTTTGATTGTTGATGCAACTAACAAATTTGATGCAGCTACCATGTAGTCTGTTATAGAGCCATTAAAAAAGCATGATTATGAAGACAAGGAGCTTATGAAATAATTTTAATGAAAAATATAAAATATTTACCATA